TTTCAATAAAATAAAACTTAAAATTAATGACAATTAACAACTTTTGTATTTTATTCTAATAAAAAGAACTAGACTTTAGTATCATGAATAATTAAGTACAATATAGTTATTATGGTAATTTTTAGTTAGTAATAGAAACTAGGGGTGAGCGTAGGCGGATTTGGACGGGTTAAGGCTTGTCTTTATCCGGCCCTAAATGATGGTTAGACCATTTTTCTGAACTCGGACTCGACCCTAGATCCGTAGTTAACCCGACCCTAAATATTCATAGGTTGACCTTTAAACCTGAACCCGACCCTAGACCCGATTAAATATAACGTATACTTATTTTACATAAAGTCTTTCAAATATTATTTATTATTGTGAATATGTAATTTGACATATACAATAATATATGTATATATATATATATTATTAAACATGTATATATGATAAAAAATTTATAGAATCAATAATATTTTCGACAGAAATGTATAATTATTCTATATACATTTGAATAAAGACACATACAAACATCATGAGTGTGTGACCATGGGACGGGTCGAGATGGGTCATGTTTGATCCCTACCCGACCCTAAATATTGATTGAGTCTAATTTTTGAACATGAACTCGGCCCTAGACCCGATGAGACCCGACCATATTCAGACTCGATCATGATCGGGCCATATCGGATGAGCGAGTAGGGTCGAGTCATGCTCATCCCTACTAGAAACGAGTCGAACCAATTCAAACATGGGTTTAGTTTGATAAAAATTTATCTACCTCAGAACTCGATTCAAGTTCGATATGAGTTATGTTTTTAGCTCAGAATTGACTCGATATGAATTCGTGAATTGTTTGATTCTATTTGTTGGCTTGAATTGGTATGGTTTGTCAAGATTTCATACTTTGTTTATTCAATTCAATATCTCGATTTGTTAAAGTCATCGGCTTGAATAATTTTATTTAATATGTATAAATTTAAAGATTTAGAATATATATAACCGAATCAACTTTTAAAATTGTCAAGTCAAATTGTATTTGACTCAAGTTGGATTCATTTATTTAACAAGCTCAATTTTTAGTTTAATTCAGGATGAAGTAAGTCTATCAAAACAAATAATAAGTGTTTTGAACAAAAGTCAAGTTGATTCAATTAATTATCATCCCCAATTTCAATAGATTAAATTGCATGTTGTGAAATGGGAGTGGAATTCACAATTAAATTCTGAGCCCCTACCTATTTATTCATTCTAAAAAAGGAAGTGGTATAGCAAATACATTTCTAACATATATGAGATAAGATAAAGCAATTCGCCAATCCGATTGGTGGGAAATCACTAACTAGATTGCGTCACAACAAAAACCAAACATTATTGTTACAGAAAATGTCCTTTGAGCCTATCTGTTTCTTTCTCTTCTTCATCCCACGTGGCACATTCAGATATCGTTGACACTCACTTTGATTCTGAGCTAAGAAAATCTCCGACACCATCCATGGCGGCTCCGGCACCATCCTCAGCTCCTTGTCTTAGAATCCTCCACACCAACCGCACCTTCTCTTCCGCATTCCGTTACCAACGACCATTTCCCACAAAGAAACCTCTAACTGTCGTTGCCATGTCTCCTATAAAAAAGGTACGTAATCCATACCTTAAGTTTTATACATTTGGCTATTCTTAATTTTGCGTTTTATTTCATTAAATCTTTAATTGAATTGAAGCAAAGTATAAATCGTTCAAACACAATTCTCTCGTTTTGGTAGATAACCGCAAATTGGTTCTCGTATACCAATTCGTAGTTCTTCTACGAACTGGTTCCTTTTAAGGAATGAACTGAATTCTTACCTACAGTTAAAGAAGAATAATTGGTTTACATGAATGTGTTACTACAAACAAGAAAGGATTTTTTTGTTTGGTAAAAGTTGATTCAAATCTACAAGAAGCAACACTAGAAACGATCGTGTAGATACCCGCACCCGTACTAAAGAGAACCATGTATCAAATGACTATGGTATAAATCGCAGTTCATAACTTTAGGTGTACCCCAATACTATAGTGTATAGTGGTAGTTGTAAAATTGTAGGTGCAATTTCACTGCAATTGTCTTGTGTGTTGTTTCTTTAATTTGAAGCACGTGTATCTTACATGAAAGCAATGCTATTCGAGTCGGATAGTTATCTTGTGTATTTATTGCAATTATGGATAGTTGAAATTTGAAAGAAAATGGGTTCTTTTTATTAGTGAACTTTTAGGATTTGTTTACCAATTAAGTTTTAGAGAGGAATGAATGAAAATGTAAGGCTTCAGAGTATGTCACCACAAGTGTATTTTATGGTTATGAAGTCTTCCAATTCCCTTCATTCCCTCACAAGACTCGGTTCTCAAGCGGAACCTTAAACAAGAGAGAGGAAATTGTGATTGGCAGAGCTTGAAGGATGGTTTCACACTTTATGTATCATGTCCGCAGCTGTAGAAAAGTGCCTTTTGGGACATAAGAAAACGTGTTTGATGTGTCGGTAATATAGTTGTAGAGGGCAATTAGAATCGTAGACCGCAGTTTAAATCATGATTACAATTATTTAGCTATGCTATCTGTGACGGATTGTGGGCACAGTTGCATTTTTCTGCTGTTGCTATAAGCATAATGTAATCACAATGGCAGAAAATTTTATACAATCAGTATAGTTTACAGTTGTTTTTTATTGAATTCATGTTTTGTGTACAAGGTGAACAAGTACGATCAAAACTGGAAGAAAGAGTGGTTCGGAGCGGGAATATTCTTCGAGGGAAGCGAGGAAGTGGAGGTGGACGTGTTCAAGAAACTTGAGAAGAGAAAGGTGCTAAGCAACGTTGAGAAATCAGGGTTGTTGTCCAAGGCAGAGGAGTTAGGCTTCACGCTCTCTTCCATCGAGAAGCTCGGCGTGTTTTCAAAAGCAGAGGAGCTTGGCTTGCTCAGCTTGTTGGAGACAGCGATCAGCTTTTCGCCTTCCATTTTGGCTTCCGCGTCACTTCCTCTCTTGGTGGCCGCCTTGGCGACAATCGTTCTGATCCCGGACGACTCTGCTGGGCTTGTTGCTGTTCAGGGGGTTCTTGCTGGCGCTCTTGGCGTTGGGGCAGTTGGATTGTTGGTTGGGTCTGTTGTGATTGGTGAATTGCAAGAATCTGATTGAAATTTTAGTACAATCTACTTTACTTAATAATGTCAACGGGTCCCAGCAAATTTTTTTTTGTGTATTTATTTTTTGACTTTGATGGCTTATGGCTATTTCTTTTACTGTAAAACATAAGAAATGAAAATTACAATGATTACATTGTTTCTTGTGGACAGATTCCTGGTTTTTGATGTATGTAGTATTTATAATAAAATAATCTAGCTTTTTGATGCAGTGCTTGCTTCATTGACTCATCCTAGCACATTTGTGACACAATATTTCTCTCATCTCTTGCTTTGTTGTTGCCTGCATTGCTCCAAGTCATGACTCATCTCATCAAATTCATGCCCTTCACTTTTTGAAGTGGCTTTTTCAACCACCTTTGATTTTATACTCAAAAGTCAAAACATTATGTTACTCCTTTAGTTGATCATGGAATTATATCATCTCACTAATTTGATTCTGAAACAGTAGTATTGATTCAGGTTGGAACAGCAATATTGATTTCATTTCAATTTTTTGATACTTTTTGTACAATTTTACACATTAAACCAATAGATCTACCTGAATCACCTGAATCCACTCAATCAGTAATGGGTTTATTCAGTTTAAGTTGGAAGACCAAAAAGGTTTTAACTCGAACCAACCTAACACAATCAAAATGGCCTAATTCTTTTCCATTTTCCCATGGATACCCAATCAACTTTAATAGGAAAACCACTTGTCCAAGCTATTGCTAGGTGTAGGAAAAGGAGAAGGGTTGATGAATCATCAAGCCCCACTAGAGTCTTTTCCTATTGATTTAAAATGCGGACCGCATCATTTGATGCGGCCGCAATATTGTGGTTGTGGTGACCGTCACAACCGCATCACACTGCAATTGCACCGTGACTCCGAATCACAATGATGCGGCTGCATCGGACCGCAACACAATCGCATCAGACCGTATTTGGACTGCACCAGGCCGCATCAAATTCAAAAATATTGTTTTAATCACAAAATAATTCACACCGCAATCCACCTTGCAATGATCGCAATCGCAATTATTGCAACCGTTACTGCAATGGCGACCCCATAATGTGCTGCATAACTTTCCAACCCTTCTGCAAAAGACGAAGGAAAAGCATTCCATTGGAATTAACGACTCATGCTCATAAAAGAACGAGGACTAGTGTGAAGAGAAAAAGACTCGTACTTCACTCTTCATCCTCATCCTTTTCTAGGATCTCGCTCATTCCTAAACCCTTAGGTATCCTCATCCTTTTGTGTATGAACATAACTTCTTTCAACTTGTGATAGAATAAATTGTGCCTGAACATTAACTGTCTTTGTCTATACCCACAAAAGTTTGAGCCCAACTCCTCTTTACTACTGAACATCCATTCCGGTACTAAAATATAAAGGGAAATGAGATTTATAATTTATTTTATTAAAAAATAAGTTAAAATCAAGATTTTTATTTTGCAACATGTCACAGTTCCAACAAATGATCTTAATTCCAGAAGTTTTAACTTACACCTCCTATATCACCTCTCTCATATGCTCCCTCTCCTATGTGGAAAAGATTCCTCTCTCGAGGGAATGTGAGAGGGTTGTTTTTGAAAAATAATTAATTTAAAAAAATGTGAAAAAATCTGGACCATTTAAATGCTATTTTTGCCATGTGTTAGCATCCTATATATGCATTGTCCTCTCCTGGAGAGGAGCCAAACTCCTCCTATGTCATATGTCCACATTGTAGACTGAGTAATGTTATATCTTAATCTCCCTACCTGCAAGAAAAAATGAGATATGTAATTTGTAAATTAATTACTAATAAATATAAAGGGAAATGACATATATCACATTTTTGTATTGATAGGATGATTAATATGAGAATTGAGTAGGACGATAATTTTCCTTTTGAATATCATTTTTATGAAGCTCTCTCACCTATGAACAAAAAAAAACACTCATGAACAACTTCAACCGCAAAACCTTTCCACTACTACAATTACTTCTATACATCACCCACTAGAACTATGATCTTAGAGTGTCATCATGATATTCAACCCCCAAATTGTTGTTCTTGATTCAGAACCAGAATCTTCACTTCTCAGAACCTACTAAAGCAAAAGACGTTGCCTCTGCTCCTCAAAACCCTCATTCCATTGTGAATCCTTCTATCCATCAAAGGCTTGATGAGATTATTGATAATATGACAAAATAGAAGTCTGATTTGTAGACAATCATTCAATTAGTAAATAATTGCTCTTTAACACTAGACTGTATTTCAAAATCAGATGATGATCGAATAAGCAGCAATGTTGAAGCTTCTCCAATACTTCTCCTTTTGAGTCAAAGAAATATACTCAGTCTATGATGTTATTCACAAATCTTGTACTTTTACCTTTTATTTACATTATGTTTGGTTGAAAAAGGAAAAAATGAAGGGAAGAAAAAAAGATGGGAAAAAAGTTGGTGGAATGTAGAAACTGAAATGAAAAATAAGTTGTTTGGTTTAAAAGAAAAAAAAGAAGGAAAAAATGATGTACGAAAAGTGAAAGGAAAACAAAAAAATATATGTGTAAAACTAGCTAGTTACATGTGCAATGCATGAAGTGATATTTTCGTGTCGTATCATTAAGAAGATATATATTATATGTATATTCATATGTTTAAGAGTACATATATTATTTGTACATTCGCATCGTTAAAACACACATGTTATATGTGCATTCATATTGTTAATAACATGCATGTGACTCGTGCATTCACATGGTTAAAAACACAGATGTTATTCATACATTCACATTATTAAGAACATATGTTACTCATACATTGCATAGTTAAAACACACATGTTACTTGTGCATTCGCAAAGTTAAAACACACATATTATACATACATTTACATCGTTAAGAACACTTAGAACTAATAATAGACATGTTCGAAATATTAAAAAATGATTATTCATCTCTTATAAATGTTCATTTATATGAATTTGTTTTCTGAAATATATAAGGAGTGTAATTTTTATATAGCGTGAAGATAATGAATGAAGGATTGTCATCATAGTATAAAGTGTTGTGGAGGATTGTCTCATACCGCGATTTAAAAAAAAAGTACATGAAGAGTGATTTCCTACTTAATAAAATTAATGATATTGAGCATGAAGAATGATTTTATAAAAGAGTTTTTCATCTTATACGCGAGGTTGCATATTAAGAGGTAGAGAGCTTGATATTGACCATGAAGAGTGATTTCATAACAGAGTTTTTCATCTTTATGTGTGAGGTTGCATATTAAGAGATAGAAAGCTTTTGGAGAGAAAATTTTATATGAGGTGATGACACATGTCCCTAACTTATATGGCAAGAATTTTCTTTCTTATATGGTATATATAGATTACATAAACATTCAAAATAAAAAATGTTAAATTTACAACATTGTTATTGTTACTATATTTTTATTGTAAAAACACAGGACATGCATTCTCTAGCCAAACTAAATCCAAAAAGTATAAATATCAAACAAACACTTTTGAAGACAAATCATTGTATGGAAAAAAATCTATATATATTGATTTGTGTATCATATGAGGAATAACAATTAAATAAAAAACACTTCTAAAAAATAATAATACAAATGTATCACACAAGAAATTATAAGTTCTCCAAAAAATAATTAAAGCTGAAAATGAAATAAAAAACAAAATGCATTTTATTATTGTGCAAATCATTCATACTTTACCACAAAAAAGAAATAACTTTTTACAGGAGAATCATAAATAATAACAAAATAAACGGGGTTGCATAAACTAGAATAAGTGAGAAAGAAAGTACAATCTTTAATTGAAATTATAAAAGGAAAAAATTGAATTTGAATTTTAAAGTTCTATTAGTCTTTGATGATAAACTGACAAACTCATTTGAGGAGAAAAGAGGAGAAAATGAGTTTGACAAAAACAATGAGAGGTGACAGTTTAGAGATAAAATAAAGGTATTATGGTCATTTTATCAAAAATGTTTATTTTCCATGTGTTTTTCCCTCCCATTTCAGAAGAAAATATTTTAGCATGGGACGTATTAAATAAGAAAGGAATTGATGAAGCTATGAGACATGGTGCAATATAATTTGATTCTCATTATAAAAGAATTGGTTAATTACATAACCAAGCATGATATTTATATATAAAATATATATCTAATCTAATCTTAAGATAATCCTAAAATAGCTTAATGATAAGCCTAAAATATCTCAAAGATAAAGATTATAGATATTGATAATGTTAGTTGCTTGTATGCCAAGTATTCCTATGCCTACCTTTTGGTGCAGTTGACTTTGCACTTGACTTGGCTTTCTGACCGAGGAGATTGAGCACTGGTGCATGGGCCTGGCTCTGCGTGATCGTGCCTGACTGACCGATGTGTCTAGGCCATGATGCATCAGGTTTGCTTGGCAGCTGGGTCTGTGTGACCGTGCTTGACTTAGGTCGTGGCACATCATGCTTGACTCGTGACCGAGACGTGGTGTGGACCATGACCGAGCTTAGCGTGACTCGTGACCGAGGCTGGTTTTGGTATGATCGAGCTTGGAGTGACTCGTGACCGAGGCTGGCTTTGGTCTGGCTGATGCCGGCCTTGGCCTGTGACCGAGAGAGGAGTGTTTCTAACCGAGCCAGCAAGTTTTCTGTCTCGGTCAAATTTGGGTTTTATGGCTTGGCTTGGGCACTTTTGGCTAATATCCCCCCGCAAGTTGGAGCACACAAATTGTGTAGACCCAACTTGATATGAATGAGTGCATAGTCTTGAGCACCAAGAGCTTTAGTTAGAGCATATGCAAGTTGTAGTTTGGAGGGAACAGGGAACAACTTGAGAAAACTATTGGCACATTGCTCTCTAACTGTGTGGCAATCAACCTCGATATGTTTTGTTCTTTCATGGAACACTGAATTAGAAGCAATGTGGAAAGCAGATTAGTTGTCACAATATAATGTGCAAGGAGCAGATGGTTGATGGTGGAGGTCTGCAAGTAAATAAGAAAGCCATTGGAGTTCACAAGTGGTGATGGCCATGGCTCTATACTCTGGCTTCACAAGAGCTCCTGGAAACTGTCTTTTGTTTCTTTGATTTCCAAGAAATGAGTGAATTGCCTAAGTAAATGCAATATCCAGTGATGAATCTTCTAGTGTCGGGGCATGAAGCCCAATCACTCTCACTATTTGCTTTTAAATGGATGGTAGAGTTTGATGGAAAGAATAAGCCAATAGTAGGTGTACCTTTTAAATAACGAAGGACTTTTAAGGCAATGTTGTGATGAGAGTTGGTGGGATTGGCCATGAATTGTGCAAGTTGATTGACCACGAAAGTTATGTCTGGTCTTGTGTTGATCAAGTAGATTAACCTGCCAATTAGCCTTCTGTAGCCTTGTGTATCTGAGTAGGAACCAGATGAGTCATTGGAAATATGAGTGTTTTGTGTCATATGAGTGGAAGAAGGTTTACAAGCAAGTAACCCTGCATCTGAAATGATTTCCAGAGCATATTTTCTCTGATTGACAGAGATGCCATCTTTGTTTCTTGCAATTTCTAAGCCTAAGAAGTATTTCAGATTGCCAAGATCTTTGATGTGAAAGGCTTTATGCAAGAGACTTTTGATGCTATTGATTTCTGTCAAATTGTTGTCAGTCAAGATGATATCATCCACATAGACAAGGATGATGACTTTTGAGTCACTGGAAATATGTTTAATAAAAAGAGAGTGATCATGTTTTGATTTTGCATAACCATGTTTGAGTAGGAGTTGAGAAAGCTTGGCAAACCATTGTCTGCTTGCTTGTTTTAACCCATATAGTGACTTTTGAAGTTTGCATACTTGATGTGATGAAGTGTTTGCAAGACCTGGTGGCAATTTCATATAAACCTCTTCATTAAGATCACCATGGAGAAATGCATTATTGACATCTAGTTATTTTAGTGGCCAATTGTGGATGAATGCTAAAGCCAAGATCAATCTAACAGTGCTTATTTTAACCACTGGAGAAAATGTATCTAGATAGTCTACTCCCTCTGTTTGTGTGTAGCCTTTGGCTACAAGTCTAGCCTTGTATCTCTCTATGGTGCCATCAGCCTTGTATTTAATCTTAAAGACCCATTTGCATCCTATAGTTCTTTTGGTGTTAGGTAAATCAGTGAGCAGCCATGTTTGGTTCTGTTCAAGTGCTGTGAGTTCTTTATGGATTGCTTCTTTCCAATTGGGATCAGTGATAGCTTGGGAGTATGTTTAGGCTCTATGTGAGTTGAAAGGGAAAGTAGGGTTGTTTTGTGTTTGGTTGAGAGTTGGTCATAGCAAAGGTGGTTGCATAAGGGATAGGGTTGGGAAGTGTGTTGGGTTGTATTGTTTTGAAGTATGCAGTGATAGTCACTGAGGTAAGTGGGAGGTCTAGATGGTGTAGTACTTCTTCTTATGGAAGATGGTTGAATAGAAGGTGGAGCAGGGCTAGTGGCAGTGGTGGGTTCAGGTTAGGTGGCAAGAGGGTAATTGTAGAATATGTCATGAGATAGGAGGGGGTTGATGGTTGAGGTATGGGGTATAGGGTCATGGGTGATGCTTGAGGAATGGGTGTGGAATGGAAAAAGCAATTCATTAAACACTACATTTCTACTTATAGATAAGGCTCTGGTTTTGAGGTCTAGGATCATAAAGCCTTTTGTTCCAGTCTTATATCCTAGGAAAGCACATCTATGGGAGGATCAAGCTTGGTTCTCTCATGTGGTAATGTACTTTTGTAGCAAAGAGAGCCAAAGACTCTTAGTGATGTTAAATCTGGTTTGGTGCCATATAGCCTCTCATGAGGGCAGTGTTCTTTTAGAACAGGTGTTGGAAGCAGATTAATGGTGTAGGCAGAGTGCTTTAGAGCATAGCACCAATAAATTTGAGGGATCTGACTTTGGATGATTAGAGCTCTTGTGACATTTAATAGGTGTTGGTGCTTTCTTTCCACCACACCATTTTGTTCAGGAGTGTACCTGCAAGATGTTTGGTGTTGAATTCCCTTTTGTGAATAGTATTGTATCATGGAAAATTCCAAGCCATTGTCACTTCTCACTGTTTTGACTTTTGCAGATAATTGAGTAAGTGCTAAGGCAATAAAATTTTGAAGCACAAGTGATGCTTCACTTTTTGCTTTGAGAAGATAAACCCATGTAAATCTAGAGTAGTCATCAATGATTGTCAAAAAATACTTATAGCCATGTATGGAAACAAC